GCCTAGGTAAGGGAGCTTGCCAGCTGAGACTGCCGTGCGATCTGGTACACAGCTCCACACTGGGTTAGAGCATGCAGCCAGCAGCCAACAGCCAGCAGGGAAGGATGGGCTCCTGTTGGTGGCCACTAGCAGCCCTCAGACTGCCTCCTATGTTGGAGGTATATGTCCCTTCAGGACCTGTGAACCCGGATGTATACATGTGCACACACAAACATACACACACATAACACAGTGTTCCAATTTGATCTCTGCTGCTGGCATAAAGGAGCCTGACCAAAAGCAACTCGGAGGAGAAAAGGGTTTATTTCAGCTTACACTTTAGGCCACCGTCCACTACTAAAGGAACCCACGCCAGGGACTCCTTACAGTAAAGGCAAAGTAAAAAAAAAAAAAAAAAAAAAGACAATCTCATGGGTGGGAGAATTGTTGCTAACCATGTACCCAGTAAGGGCTAATAACCGAAATACATGAGAAACCCAAACAGCTCAATAACAACAAGAAAAAAATCAAAACAAAAAAGTTTTTGCTTACAGGCTAGTGTATGAGCGAAGCCTTTAATCCCGACTCTCCGGAGGCAGAGGCAGAGGCAAGCAAATCCCTGCAGATCTCAGTCTGGTCTACATAGTGTGTTTCAGGCCAGCCGGGGCTGCATCGTGAGACCCTGTCTCAAAAAATATTAAAATAGGGCAATGCTTCTCACAGCATGGCAGAGGTTTTCTGAATAACATGCAGACCACACCACATGAGCCCTTCACAGGGAGATGGAAATACAGTCTGATGCCACCTCACGCCTGCCCTCACAGTGTTGAAGGGCAAAAATGTGGGCAAGGGTGGGAGAGCGGACATCCTGGCTCCGTGTTGGTGGGGTGGGAATCAGTGCAGTCAGTGTGCAAACAATGTAGAGTTCCCTTGGAAACTTCAATCTGAGACACAGCACCGCTGCTGTGCCCACGGCAGCATTATTCACACAGCCAAGATACAGAAATATCCCAAGTACCTGCTCATGACCATTGAATGATGGGTAAGGAAAATGTGGTGTATATAATGGCTGGGTGCTCTGCCTCCCAAAGCAGACGCTGCCATGTGTGACCACACGGAGCAGAACCTCTTCTGCTGGTTGAAGTATGTCAGACAGAAATACGAATCCTCATGGGCTCCCTGGCATGGTGGGACCTAAAAGGGCAAGGTCCTGAAGCAAAGTAGAGCAGTGGCTGCCAGGGCCAGAGGGGGTTGGGATGGGGAGACATCAGATCTGTCAAGCGCTGCAGACCCAGGGATGCCCATGCTCATCGATGTGGGCCCACACTTGGGTGGCTAAGAGTGGATTCCCCACACAGATACCCTGTAAGGAGAGGATAATCATGCTGTATGGGCGTGTAATCAAAACCGTATGCTGTGCACTTCCGATGTGTACGCGTGGTCTTTGCCAGCTGTAGCCACCATCCTACAGGGGCAATTGACTCATGTCAGATTTTATGGATAGTTTGTCTTTTCACATTTGCATTGAAGGCGACACAGCTATGACAGGACCGTGGAAACCGCTTGCATTGTTGCGGTGGCACTGATGACATGGCATTCAGTTTCTCACCACAGGTGACTGTACCTCTCACAGTTAGCCCACAGTGTCCTCCTTCCCATGCCCTCAGGAGTATGAGGTACACCTCTGGTTATTCTGGATCCTCCTGATCTACCCTCCTTCAGGAACACAGACCAGCCCAGTCAGGTCCTGACAGCACAGTATGACTGCTGTGCTGAGCCCATGTGTGAATGCTCCATCCCTCTACTGCCCTAGGAGATAAATGTTCTGGAAACCACAATGTAGAAAGTCACATTGAACTGCAGGTTTTATCTCCGTGCCAACATCCTTTGGGACTCTTGCTAATCCCAAGGAAAAGAGGAATGAGTTGGGGATTCCTGCCCTCTTCCCCTTTCCCATGCTACCTCATCCTCCTTTACACCCAGCTTCCCACTACTGCTTCCCTCCTCCCCTCTTGTAAAGACACCTTTCATGTCTCTATGTTTTCACAGCTGTTTGTCATTCTGTTGAGACCTTTCTAGTATGTGAAACTGATGGTGTTTCTACTGACTCCTTTAAAAATGATTCATTTATTTTTATTTTGTGTATATGAGTGTTTTGTCTGTATGTATGTTGAGGTACCATGTGTGTGCCTTTTGCCTGTGGAGGTCATAAGCTACACTAGAACACTGAAGTTACAGAAGGTTGTAAACCACTCTGTGGGTACTGGGCATTTAACCCTGGTCTTCTGGAAGAGCAACCAGTGCTGTTAACTGCTGCGCCCTGCTGCAGCTCCTGTTTCTCCCGACTCTAGCCTGTGTGGATCTCCCTTGGGCATTAAAGAGTTTGTGGTCTGGTGTTTGACATATAGGGGCTCCTGAAGGGGGAGTCACACTGTTGCCTTCCGGAGTGCTGTGTCCTGTGTCTGCCTCAAGACAGCCTACGTGAGGAATCAGCCAAATGCATGGAGCGCCTCAGAGGAGATAAAGTGGGTGACAGTGCTGTGGCCTGGCCAGGCTCACCCAGGGCCGATCCACTAGTGGCTGTGGCTTTTACATACTGCCCCAATCCCCTTCCTATCTCCTCTTTCTTGAGGACTCTGACTTTGTAATAGCATTGAAAAAGCACACCTGTCTCTATTCTGCCTTTTTCCTATAAATTTAAAGCTGTTTTAAAAGGTGTTTACAAAAAGCTGTCCCTTGAGCTTGGCTTAGAGCATTGTCAGACGAACGCAGTGCTGAACTCTGTTGTTCCCGCCTTCCTTTCTCCCTCGTGAGCATCAGTCCTTTAAGGCCGTCTTTTCATCGTCTGTTTTTGGCTGCCAGGGCCTTCCCTATTCCTAGGCTTCTCTACCCATGGACTCTGCTGTGTGTTGAAGTGTTCTAATATCTGTGTCCAGTCTGCTATGATTTGAGAGCCTGTGTTTTTCTTGAGTGACACAAGATGTCTAAATTTGCACAAAAGCGTGGATCTTCTTCCCAGTCCCCAGGAAGAGCTGCCTCACCCTGTGGTGGCAGAGGACTTGCCCCGGCAAGTCCTGTAAAGGAGGCCATCGTATTGCTTGTTGATGTCTGGCAAAGTGAAAGTTAAGTGGCTTCAAGGCTGGAGACATGGCTCAGCAGACATGGAGACTGGCTACTCTTCCAGAGGACACGGGTTCAATACCCAACATTCTCAAAGTGGTTCACAATTATCTGTAACTCCAGTTCCATGGTTACAGACAAGCTGATGCCCTCTTCTGGCCTCTGAGGGCACCAGGCACACATACAGACAAGAAAAATAACCATTTACATACATTAATAATTTTAAATTAATTGGATATACCTTCTTTTTTATCTTCTTTTTTTTAAGTTACATTATTTTTTATTCACTTTACATCCTGGTTGTAGCCCCATCCCTCCTCCCCTCCTAGTTCCACCCTCTCTCTCTTTCTGGATGCACCTTTTAGGTGGCTAGGGACCTGGGTTTTCCTATATCTGAGTTTTTATGGGTCCGGACCCTATCACAGCTTGTAGAAGTCAGTCAGAAGTGATTTCTTTCTATGTGCCATGACAACCTCTTGGTCATGGATGGAGGCAAACCGTCACGGTGAGCCCATTGAGTCCTTCAGCATGTATCATACCAGGGAAGTGACAGAGACCCCTCAATATTAGCCAAGGCAGATGGAGACATGGGGTGCAGAGTCAGACAGGAAGTACACACATCCGGTATCCCTGGTAGACTGTGTGGCATGTGTCCTTTGACTTCCCTGGGAGAGGGGCTAGTGCCTTACTTATGGCCATTGGTTCTAGGTGCTCCTCTTGGTTACCACTGTAGTATCTGTTGGGCCCACTTGATTAGATTTTTTTTTTTTTTTTTTTTTTTTTTTTTTTTTACTGAAGGGGTCTTCTTACAACATGACTGGGGGAGACCCAGATCTGATGATAAGCCAGGCTCTGCTCTCTTGCTGTCTGTCCTCTGGCTTGCTTGCACATGAGAAGCCCTGTTGAGCTGACACCTGCGAGCTATGGCAAAATGGTAGAACCGGAGGGAGAGAAAGCCTGGGACCATGGGCTCAGGAAGTCTTCTGTAGGGCCAACTCCAGCCCAGGCTACAGGAGGGAAGATTTTCTGGTATCTTGGCATGCTGCAGACATAAAAGCAATGGCATCAGATAACTTTTCTGGGCCACCTTGGTACTCTGCTGTCCTGCCTGCTCTCAGAAATGAGCCATGCTGTGGTCAGGACCCCAGCTACAGGCTACACTGGCACCTCCATACTCCACCTACCCAAACTGGGTCCCTCTGCTGTCCCTGGGATGACTGCCTTCTTTTCCAGCTTCCTTTCCCTCCTGGCCTCTCTCCTGGGCCACTTACCACTTGCTTGACCAAGTGTCCAAAAGAACCCAGGAGAGAACTGTTGACAGTTTTCCTTAGGGGAGCATCAGCCTTCCTACCCAGCAGTGGTACACTCCCTGCACCCACCCCGAACTCTTTCTATCCACTCCCTCAGGCCTTTCCCAGGGCCTGTGGTGGCCACTTTTCCACTTTGGGGGTGGGGGTGGTTAGGGACATACACACTTCCTCCCTTGCCTTCTTCCAGCCTAGGCACCACCCGGGGGTGGAGGTAACCCTGGTGGGTATACTGGGCCTGAGCTGAACAGTGTCCAGTAGTGGCAAGCCCCTGCCCTGCAGGGTGCCCTCACTGGAGCAGCAGCCTCAAGCTGTTATCGCGGGGGCTGCTAATAAGACTGTGATGTCAGACATGCTGGGATTTGTTCTTTTCAAATGAAAATGACGGCAACTTCCTCTTACAGGGAGTCACCAGCTGGGGCGGAGTTGGAGCACCAGGGCTTGACTCATTGTCTGCCTCTCTCAGCACCTACCTGGGTAGCTGGGAGCCTCCCAGGACTTTGGGTGGTGTTCTCGATGGAGGATCTGAAGTGCTGGTCCCTGAATCTTGTCATGAGATGTACTTAACTCATGTCTTTCTCTTTTTTTTTTCAGTCTGCAACTGTGTCTGATGGTGGTAAGTCATATATATTTTATTATTTTTATTGCCATTTTCAAATTATGAAAACATATTTGTCATTTGATGTACTCAGGAAAGATAGTTTTCTCTGCCCTTTCCTTGTGGGAGGGTCTCAGTTGGAGTTGGGCTGGGGGAGCTTCCTGGTGGCCTGAGCATGTGTTTGACTAGCATGGCAATAGAAACTTGGTGATAGCCAGCACAGGCAGTGTGCTGGGCTGCGGTGCACGCTCCTGCACGCCTGTGATCAACAAGCAAAAACATGCTTGCCGATCCCTTGTACAACCAGCTTCCAAACAAGCAAGTTCAGATCTCAAAGCACTGGCTGAGTTTGGGCCATTCTGGAAGTTTCCTTCTTAAAGAAAGCATAGTAGATCAACTGAGTGTGGAATGAAAAAGAATCAAACCCTTTCTTTCTGTCTTTAAATAATCTTGTGTACAGGGCTCTTTTAGGAAGGTAAATCACCAGCCGGAACTGTCTAAAACTGTTTGGAGAGTTTTCATCTAGATACTCCTCATGCTTGTAGTGTTCTTAGTACGACAGAGAACTTGGTATACTTTCTAGAAACTTGTGTTGTCTCTCCTCATAAATGCCCACCTCAGGCTGGTGCCCGTCTTCCACAGGAAGGTGCAGGCAGAGCCTCTGGCATTAGGAAGAAGTGAGGCCCTGGAGCTCTGTTGGGGTCACCCTATGGGAATGGAGGAAAATACAGCTTGAGTTACAAACCTGCTCAGGCCAGAATGCAGCCCACAGGGAGCCTGAGCACAAGTGTTAGAAGCATATATTTTAGAATAAAGAAGGTTATATTTCTTGTGTTGTGTATAATAATGGTCATGTTATTTAATCAGTCTTAAGCCAGAAGCAGGAAAAGCTTCCTTAATGTAAGAAAAGAAGCAGGACTACAGCCAAGCCTGGGCCAAAAACACGCTCACAGCCCTGTTCCCACTTTTCTCTTCTGGCAGAGGGCGTTTATTCTTGTGGGAAATTTATATACTTGAGAGGTTTCCATAATCCATCAGTTTAATAATGTATAATTTTTTTTATTGACCTCCCAAGATTCTTTCTTCTTGTTAGAAATTGGGGAAGCCACCCCGCCCCCTCAGGCCCCAGCATCTTAAGTTGCTGTAGGTTTCTGAAGCTCCCTTCCGAGGGTGGGAAGCCCCTGGCTCCCAGCCCCCACTGTGCCTTTCTGAGGAAGTAGTGTCCTAGCCAGGTGATTCCCTATCCCTGGGGGCTTTCCACCCTCTGTCTCCGTCTCCACCTCAGACCCCAGGGCCAAAGGGCTGTGTTCTGTTCTTGTGTGGAGGGCCTGCTATGGCAGGAGACAGGGAATTTCAGCAACAGAGCTAGGAGCTAGACATCCGGATATGTTTTATTTAGTCACTTTTCATCCTTTTATTATTTTTCTTTTAGTTGGTTTTTTTTTTTTCTGGTTATAAGCTTAAAATGAAGACACTGTTTAGCTCAGTCTGTGTGTTAGTTCCAGGAGGCCAGTGTGATGTGCCATTGTTACATTGATGCTGAGGTAGTGTGACTGCCCCAGTAGAAGTCCCTGGGGCTCAGGCCTAAAGGAGAGCCGCTGTCCCTCACCCTACTGATCCAGCTAAGGCCTTCCGTTCCCCTCAGGCACAGGAGCTCTTCCCTGGTCTCCTCTGCTGTGCCATGCCTTGCCCGGGTACCTGTTGAGAAGGGCTAGGCAGAAGCTCAAATGTTTCCACGTAGAGATATTTTATAGACTTGGTCAGTCGTAGGCAAGTTCCCACATGGAGCCTGGAAACCACAGCACCCCACTGCTTCTGTGGGAAAATGCTCCGAGTGCAGGCAGGGACGAGGGGCCAGCTGAGCACTGTGCCCTGTTGGGGCTATGGCTGCCTCCTCATCCAGCCTGGGCTATGGTTATTAGGGAATCTCTTCAGAAGCATCCAACATCCAGCTAACCACGCCCTTGACATAACTGGACTCTTTGCTGTCCTTCCAGGTCGTGGGTAACATTTGGTGATGTGTGCTCCTGCCATGTGCTTTCATGCTGTTTAAAGGAGGTTGGGCGGTGCCAATTATGACTTTGGTCAGAGCATGTTTTATACTTGCTCAGCTGGAAAATGCTAAAGGCCATTACCGCACCGCAGCCTGTGCATCGACCTGTGGAGGGCGAACTGTACCTAGGACAGCAAATCCTGCTTACAGAAGGGGTATCCCTAGCATTCAGAGACTTCTGACAATCCACTCAGTTGAAAATACGCAGTATGGGCTGGGGTGAAGCTCATGGCTAGAGCCCTTACCTAGCATGCACGAGCCCAGGGGTTTTATCCCAGCCTTGGAAGGAAAAGGGAAGGTGGGGGTGAGAGAGAGAGGGTGAGAGGGGAGGCATATAGACGTGAGAGTCCTACGGTTGACATTGGTCCTGGAAGGAGTCTCCACCTCAGGTACAGGCGTGGCCTTCATACCGTCATCTGTGGTTCCTCACCACTGTGCTCCCACAGCGATCCACCTCTCTTCTCCTGCAGTGATCTACCTCTGCTTTGCGCTAGCTAGGACTGTTCCCACGATGCCACCTCTGTGGTCCTCTTGGAGCTGAAGCTCTTTAACTCCTCCCTCCAACCAGACTCTTGTGTTCTCAGAAGGGTACCCCACCTTCTGCTGCTTAGGGACATTTAGGGGTACCTTTCCCGCTAAGGGTTCAGTAGCCCTGGTGTGGGAAGTAAACCCACTGCAGGCAGATCATTAGAGGCCTTGCTGCCAGGGTTAGCATGCAGACCTCTGAAACATCCTGGAAGCAGGATGTTTGCAGAGCCTAAAGGGAGAGGTGTCTCTGAGAAAGAAATGCTGGGCAAACAGGGTGGTTTGGTCACAAAGGTAGTTGCCACCTGTGGTCTCCTGCCGCAGTTGGGTCAGACACCCCCCTTTCTATGGAAAGATTTCCCCAGCCTCTGGTTATACCTGATCCTCACCAAGAAAGACAGATGCAAACTTCTCTTAGCTTCCAAGGTTTTTGTGAGGGTAGCACCCTTTGACCTGTGGCAGAAAAGAGGTGTGTGATAGTTTATAGTGGGTTTAGGCACTCGACACACAAGCCTATTAATCTGAGTTTTATTCCTGGAACCCACATGATAAAAGCAGGGAACCAACTCCCGAAAATTGCCTTCTGATTTCTGCATGTGTACACACACACACACACACACACACACACACACACACACACACACACA